GTCTGTCGAGGAGACAGCGTCTGAATCTGTCTTCCGGCCAACACCGGCGACGATTATCTTAACCGGTCCCGGGCCTCCCCTAGGTTGACTCAGCCTCAAAAGAGTACCCGGTGCGGTGCGCGGTAAACATCGCCACCGGGTAGACAAAGGCGGCCGGGTGCGGTGCTGGCCACCCACCCCCTCGTGTGCCGGCCGTCATAGGCGCTGCTACTCGCTAAGGGCACTTGCCCCTACGGTGTGTGAAGGCTACACGGGGGATATTTGTCTTTGTGTGTGCCGCTGCTGTAGGTGTCCCCGTCGTGGTACCGCGCCCCGGAGCTGCTGCTGCGGGTGACCTGCGGCCCGGCCGCCGACCTGTGGAGCGTCGGCTGCATCTTTGCTGAGATGTTTACACGCAGGTGCTCCTTGAGCACCGCCACCCGCACACCCACACACCTAGCAACCCACCCACCTAGCAACCCACCCACCTAGCAACCCACCCACCCACCTAGCAACCCACCCACCTAGCAACCCACCCACCTAGCAACCCACCCACCTAGCAACCCACCCACCCACCTAGCAACCCACCCGCCCACCTAGCAACCCACCCACCCACCTAGCAACCCACCCACCCACCTAGCAACCCACCCGCCCACCTAGCAACCCACCCACCCACCTAGCAACCCACCCACCAAACCACACACCCAGCCACCCACACACCCACCCACCCACCAATCCACCCACCCAGCCACCCACCAACCCACACACCCACCCACCTATCAACCCACCAAACCACCCACCCACCCACCTATCAACCCACCCACCCACCAATCCACCAAACCACCCAGCCACCCACACACCCACCCACCTATCAACCCACCCACCAAACCACCCACCCACCCACCCACCCACTCACTCACCACCCACCCACACACCCACCCACCCACACACCCACCCACCTATCAACCCACCCACCAATCCACAAAACCACCCACCCAGCCACACAGCCACCCACCTATCAATCCACCCACCCACCAAACCACCCACACAGCCACCCACCCACCTCTCCCGCACGCAATGTCACCACAGGCCTGGCAGGGTGGCGTCGCCATGGCGCCCGTGCCAGGATAGGTGCCCCCGTGGGTCCGACCGAACACCATGCCACCTCTCCCCCATTGAATTGGTGTTGTTGTTATTATGATGATGTGTCTTTCCGACAGACCTGTTCTTCTGAACACCACCAGGCTTGGCAGCGTATATTTAAGTATTTAAGTATATATTTAAATATATACGCTGACAAGCCTGGTGGTGCTCATTCAGACGCCGTCTTTCCGACAGACTTGCTCTTCACCCGAGGACGGCTGCTTGCGTTGTGGCCGAAACGTCGTGAGAATTGTATTTTATTGCGTTTTATTATTTTATGATTTCCCTTCTACGTGACTTTACCGAAAGAAGCAAAAAGGTTCTAAGCGACATCGCATCAGGTGACCTCCTTGTCTCCCCTCAACGCAGGCCTCTCTTCCCCGGAGGCTCCGATGTCGATCAGCTGACGAAGATATTCGGGTGAGTAGCTCGTGGCGAGCGTGCCGTGGGGAGCGGTGCGGGGGCCAATAGACGCCATCTCATTTGTTAGCGGAGAGCAACGTGGGGTGGGGGAGGGTGGGGGGAGGGGGAGAGGGAAGGGGGAGGAGGGGGAGGAGGGAGGGGGAGGAGGGGGGGGAAGGGGGAGGAGAAGAAGGGGGGGGAGGAGGAGGAGGGGGAAGGGGGAGGAGGGGGAAGGAGGGGGGGGGGAGGGGGAAGGGGGAGGAGAAGAAGGAGGAGGGGGGGGCAGGAGTATTTGGCTGTTGATGTAAATTCCACAACAGCCACTCCGTTGCGCAATCATTGATGAAAGTGGGTTGATAGTCAACAGCCGAATTCTCACCGTCACCTCCGCCGCTACCCCCCCCTTACCCCCCCTCTTACCCTCCCCCCTACCCCCCCCTTACCCCCCCCCTCCCCCCGTGTCCCCCATGTCCCAGTCTGCTAGGCGTGCCGAGCCTGGAGGAGTGGCTGCTCGGAGCCTCCCTGCCGCACGGCGACTTTGCCGCGCAAACTCAGCTCGGTGGTCGCCACTCCTCCTACGGTCTCCACGCTGCCCCGCGGGCCCTGGTCGACTCCACGCCGGAGATGGGGCTGGAGGTCGCGCCGGGCAACGAGAATGTGGCGATGGCGCTGCTGCTGGTGAGACGCGGGCGGATTGTACGCGACGGCAATTGTCGCGCTTCGACGGGGATTACCGTTGAGCGGGCAATAACGCATCGCCTCTCGTCTCTGTGTGTCTCTCTGTGTCTCTCTGTGTCTCTCTGTGTCTCTCTGTGTGTCTGTGTCTCTCTGTGTGTCTGTGTCTCTCTGTGTCTCTGTGTCTCTCTGTGTCTCTGTGTGTCTCTCTGTGTCTCTCTGTCTGTGTCTCTCTGTGTCTCTCTGTGTCTCTGTGTCTCTCTGTGTCTCTGTGTCTCTGTGTCTCTCTGTGTCTCTCTGTGTCTCTCTGTGTCTCTCTGTGTCTCTCCGCGCCCTCCGCACGCACGGCCGTGCCTCCCGCAGGAGCTGCTGACCTTCAGCCCCCGCAAGCGCATCTCTGCGTCTGTCGCCCTCTTCCATCCGTACTTCTCTGAGGCCGCAGGCGTGGCCACGGGCGAGGCCTAAGGAGTAGGCCCTGGGGCAAGGCCTAAGGAGTAGGCCCCGGGGCGAGGCCTAAGGAGTTTGCGTCCTTTTTTGTTGCCCCCACCTTAAGAGGGTCGCTTGTGTTGCGCCCGAAACGTCGTCATTCGATTTGTTTTAATGTTTCGCCGACGTGACTTTACCGAATAAAAAAGCTAAAGGGTAATAAAAGTTAACTCTGAAGCAGCAAAAGAATGGCGAGGTACCTCTTTGTTGTTGTTGTCGTCGTCGTGTTGTTGTTGTTTTCACAAATGTGCAGCGGGCGACTTATTGAGAGCACACTCTCTCGCGTAACGCGGCTGCACACTGGCGATCCTGACACGCAGCCCCATCTCCGGCCTCGCCACGCCAGCTGCCCGTCCTGCCGAATATCCGTCACGAGGTCGGCCACGAAGAGATGATGCCGGCGAGCAGCGACGCAGCCAGCACCCACGGCGGCACGAACCGCCGGTCCATCATCCCTCATATCCGCCAAGCGCCACCTCTGGCCACGCCCCCTTTCCAGAACCCTCCAGCCGCTTCCCAGAGGAGCTTCTTGACCGACTCCACCTTCATCTTCACCCCAGATACGCCCCCCCACCCCCCATATAATGAGGCATTGCGTAATGCACCCATGACCGTAATCACCACTCCAGGCCGACAGGTGTCACCCTATAGTTATAGGTTATTTAAATCCTTTATACTGGTAGGAACGAAGTGAACCAGCCTACAATAGATTATATCGTCCGTCCGATGTCCGATTAGGTGTAGCAACATCGCCCCCTACTGCAAACACTTGGCAGGACCCTACAAAAACCTTTAGACTCAGTGAGGCTTTCCTGGCTAAACAAGTGTAACATTCCCTTATAATTCCCTGAGATAGCTTTTAATGAAAACATTTAAATTACAAATTAACTCACAGCGGCCTAAAGCCTACAGCTAGGCCTAAAGCCTAGAACTAGGCCTCAAACTCTCCCTTCGTATCGTACCCCCGCCATTTCATTTTATTATAGCCATTCATTTGTTCGTTCCTACCAGCCCACCCCGCAGGGACCTGTTCTAAACGGAATCAGCACATCAAATTAAATCCGCAGAGGAGGGGAAGACGGGTCCCAAGCAATGGACACTCACAACCATCAGTGGCAGATACTCGGCCGAGAGAGTCGAGAGAGAGAGGAAGAGACTTTTCAGGACTTTATTTCCGCTAAAACATTAACAAAAAACCATTACGGGGAAAAAACACACGTAAATTGTAAATCGATAAAACATCAAACTCTTTAACAGCTGTGTGTGCACGAACTACACGTGGCACAGGGATAGAGGCTGTGCAAACGAGGCGGTGCACGGACATCTCCGTATGTAGCAAAGTCGCTACGTGAGTGGGTGAGTGTGTGAACAGATGAGTGGGTGAGTGTGTGTGTGAACAGGTGAGTGAGCGAGTGGGTGTGTGAGGTGAGTGGGTGAGGTGAGTGTGTGAGGTGAGTGGGTGAGCGAGTGTGTGGGTGGGTGAGTGGGTGAGCGAGTGAGTGGGTGTGTGAGTGGGTGAGCGAGTGTGTGGGTGGGTGAGTGGGTGAGCGAGTGTGTGGGTGGGTGGGTTAGTGGGTGTGTGAGTGGGTGAGCGAGTGTGTGGGTGGGTGGATTAGTGGGTGTGTGAGTGGGTGAGCGAGTGTGTGGGTGGGTGAGTGGGTTTTTCTATTTGATGAATCAAAATGCGATGTGAAAAAAATATTTTTTTCTCCCCGACATTTTCAAAACGAAATGGCGTTGACGCGTCAAACACCTGAAATCATTTTTTTTTTACGGATTCAGTTGTCGGTTTTCATTAAAGTGTAATGACAGGGTCACGCCTGGCGGGGTCACGGGGTCACACCTGGTGACGTCACGGGGTCACACCTGGTGACGTCACGGGGTCACGCCTGGCGAGGTCACGGGGTCACACCTGGCGAGGTCACGGGGTCACGCCTGGTGACGTCACGGGGTCACGCCTGGTGATGTCACGGGGTCACACCTGGCGGGGTCACGGGGTCACGCCTGGTGACGTCACGGGGTCACACCTGGTGATGTCACGGGGTCACACCTGGGGGGGTCACGGGGTCACGCCTGGTGACGTCACGGGGTCACACCTGGCGAGGTCACGGGGTCACGCCCGCTGGCCTGGGAAGGGATTCACGGGTACGGCCACAGAGGCAACAACCGATCAACGTGAGCACGTCGAGTGAGCGGGCGGGCAACTTGCGGTTTGACGGTGAACACGGCAGAGCGGACGTGAGCTTCAGAGCGAACGCCGAGCGGTGGGATGCCGTCCGCGGCCTGACGAACGCCGCCGCGACGGCCACGCGGCACTACGGGTGCGTGCCGCTCGTCGGCAGGCGCGCGGCGACCGGCTGCCGGGGCGCGGGGAAGTCGCCGGGATACGCCGGGAGGTTCCGGACGGGGCAGCCGGGAGGCAGCGTGGCGGCGGGGACCGGGCCCACCCTCAGGGGGTTGGCGTCGCCGAGGATTTCGTAGAGAAGGCCGCTGGCCACTTCGCGAGCTCCTTCCGCGCTGGAGCTCAGCACCGCGGGGAAGAAGCCGCTGCCTTCCCGCATCATCCCGGGAACGGAGACCTTGTACAGGAGGCCCATGGGCCTGCCGGGCTCCGAGTGAGCGTGCAGTTCGAAGGTCGCGTGGCCCACGCCGGCGCTCCGTAGCAGCGCCTGCAAACGCGTCTCCCACGACAAGACGGCCGTCTCCGGCAGCTCGTCCAGACCGATTGGCGTGGGCCACGGGTGGTGAGGTGCCCGCCAGAGCAGCGTGTGCGCCGCCCAGCCCACAAACAGGTTGTGCGGGGCCTTGTCGGAGACGGCGCACATCCGGCGGCGGGAGGCCTGGGACTGCCGCCACCTCCTCCTCGTCTTCCATTGCCTCCTCCTCCCCCACCTCCTCCTCCCCCCACCTCCTCCACCTCCTCCTCCACCGCCTCCTCCCCCCCCCCCCCCTCCTCATCTTCAGTTGCCACCGCCTCCTCCCCCCCTTCCTCGTCGTCTTCCGTTGCCACCACCACCACCCGCCGCGGCAGCAGCAGCAGCAGCCGCCCGCCCCCGGGTCTCGCTGCGGGATGGCCCAGTCCACGTGGATGTCTCGGCCCCACAGCCGGAAGGAGTACGGCAGCAGCACCCTGCGGGCCATGCAGGCCGCGCGGTGGCTCTCGTATTCGACGAACGCGAAGCCTCGGCTGTGGCTCCTGTCGTGGCGACAGAAGCGCATCTGGACGTCCACGACGCCCTCCGTGACGTCGCTCATTGCCGCCATCACCTCGGCCCGCGTCCTAACCTTCGGCAGCCCCGCCAAGAAGAGGCGGCGATTGTCGACGCTCACGTGAACCGCGATCCGTTGCCCCGGGCGGATCTCCGACTTGTGGAGTCTCCTGACGGCGTCCGCGGCTTGCGAGCGCGTCGCGAAGGTGGCGAAGGCGTAGCCGCGGTTCTCTCCGTGGTACGTCATCATGAGGCGCAGCTGGTACAGCCGCCCCACCGCCTCCAGCACGGGCACCAGCTCGTCCTCGTACAGGTCGCGCGGGATCCTCGCCAGGAACACCTCGCAGCCGCGGGCGGGAGGGGGGCCCTGCCAGTCGGGCGGCGGTCCCAGCTTCCTCTGTCCGTTCTCCTGGACGATGTTGTAGCCCGTGCGCAACACGAGGTCCAGCAGGTCCCTCTCCACGCAGCTCATGATGTCGAGCATCGGCGCTTTGTCCACGGCGGCGGTGACGACGGGGCAGCGGCTTGGGGCCCGTTGGAGCCCTTGACACTCACCGGCGCAGAAGCCTCGTGCCGACAAAGCCACGGCGGGGGGCGGAATCAACTCGTGAAAAGGCGGGAACTCGCTCGGGCCAAGCCTACAGGCCCAGCAGTGGAGAGAGGAAGAGAGAGTGGAGAGACGGATGGAGAGAGAGCTACCTTTGTAAACTCGGAAAATCACAATAAAATAGAAACCCAAGAAACTGTGTCTTGACCTTTGAACCGCCCTGTATAATGACCCCTCACCCCCAGTAGACGACCTGGTACCCCTCCTCACTCATCCACTCACTGACCCATCCACGCACCTCACACAGCCAGTCACTCACACACTCACCCACCCACTCACCCGCACACCCAGTCGCTCACACACTCACCTCACACACTCACCCACCCACTCGCTCACACACTCACCCACCCACTCACCCGCACACCCACTCGCTCACACACTCACCCACCCACTCACCCGCACACCCACTCGCTCACACACTCACCTCACACACTCACCCACCCACTCACCCGCACACCCACTCGCTCACACACTCACCTCACACACTCACCCACCCACTCGCTCACACACTCACCCACCCACTCACCCGCACACCCACTCGCTCACACACTCACCCACCCACTCACCCGCACACCCACTCGCTCACACACTCACCCACCCACTCACCCGCACACCCACTCGCTCACACACTCACCTCACACACTCACTCACCCGCACACCCCACTCGCTCACACACTCACCCACCCACTCACCCGCACACCCACTCGCTCACACACTCACCCACCCACCCACTCGCTCACACACCCACCCACTCACCCACCCGCACACCCACTCGCTCACACACTCGCTCACACACTCACCCACCCACTCACCCACCCACTCACCCGCACACCCACTCGCTCACTCACTCACCTCACACACTCACCTCACACACTCACCCGCACACTCACCCGCACACTCACCCGCACACTCACCCGCACACTCACCCGCACACTCACCCGCACACACACTCGCTCACACACTCACCCACCCACTCACCTGCACACACACTCACCTCACACACTCACCCACCCACTCACCCACACACCCACTCGCTCACACACTCTCCCACCCACTCACCCACTCACTGATGATGAGAGAGAGAGAGACACGCAGACTCCAAATATACAACAGTAGGCGTCGCCAGGGCCGGGATCGAACCCACGACCTCCTGCATACCAGGCGAGGTAGTTAACATCTCCTAGCCACCGTGATGATGATGAGAGAGACACACAAACTCCAAATATACAGCAAGAATCTTCAGTATCGGGATCAAACCCACGACCTCCTGCATACCAGGCGAGGTAGTTAACATCTCCTAGCCACCGTGATGATGATGAGAGAGACACACAAACTCCAAATATACAGCAAGAATCTTCAGTATCGGGATCAAACCCACGACCTCCTGCATACCAGGCGAGGGAGTTAACATATCCTAGCCACCGTGATGATGAGAGAGAGACACAAACTCCAACTCCAAATTAAGTTTGAATGTTTGCGTGTCGTTAAACCGGCCATCAGCCGACAGCCAATTCGCAAGGTTTATCACGTGACATACCGTGCCAATCTGTCACTGGAGCAGCACTAACCGGTTGTGTGGTTGGAGTGTCTGTGTGTACACACTGTGTGTGTCTGTGTGTGTGTGTGTGTCTGTGTGTACACTGTGTGTGTGTGTTGGAGTGTCTGTGTGTACACACTGTGTGTCTGTGTGTGTGTGTACACTGTGTGTACACACTGTGTGTGTCTGTGTGTGTGTGTACACTGTGTGTCTGTGTGTACACTGTGTGTCTGTGTGTACACTGTGTATGTGTGTCTGTGTGTGCACTGTGTGTGTGTACACTCTGTGTGTGTGTCTGTGTGTGTGTACACTGTGAGTCTGTGTGTACACTGTGTGTGTGTACACACTGTGTGTGTCTGTGTGTCTGTGTCTGTTTGTCTGTGTGTGTGTACACTGTGTGTGTGTGTGTACAATGTGTGTGTGTGTGTACACTCTGTGTGTGTACACTGTGTGTGGTGTACCAGGTGTGCACTGTGTGTGTGTACACTGTGGTGTGGTACACTGGGTGTGTGTACACTGTGTGTGTACAGTGTGTGTGTACAGTGTGTGTGTGTACACTGTGTGTGTGTACACTGTGTGTGTACAGGTGTGTGTGTGTACAGTGTGTGTGTACAGTGTGTGTTGTGTACACTGTGTGTGTACAGTGTGTGTGTACAATGTGTGTGTGTACACTGTGTGTGTGTAGTGTGTGTACACTGTGTGTGTGTACACTGTGTGTGTACAATGTGTGTGTGTGTACACTGTATGTGTACACTGTGTGTGTGTACACTGTGTGTGTGTGTACACTGTGTGTGTGTGTGTTCAGCACGCCCGGCGGACCGTTATTCGATCCCGACTCCTGCCGGGGTAGGCGCTCCGGGGCGCGGCGGTCCGCTAGGAAAACTCGGGATGGCCCGAGGCCGACTAGGCCGCAGTCTTCCCTCCCCTCTGTTCTAGATGGTGACGATGTTGCTGATGCTGTTGTTGTTGATGCTGTTGTTGTTGTTGTTGCTGATGATGTTGGTTGTTGATGTTGTTGTTGTTGATGCTGTTGTTGATGCTGCTGATGATGTTGTTGATGTTGCTGATGATGTTGTTGTGATGCTGCTGATGTGTTGTTGATGCTGATGATGTTGCTGATGTTGTTGTTGTTGATGCTGATGATGTTGTTGATGTTGTTGATGCTGATGATGTTGTTGATGCTGATGTTGATGATGTTGTTGTTGATGCTGATGATGTTGTTGTTGATGCTGATGATGTTGTTGTTGATGCTGATGATGTTGTTGTTTATGTTGCTGATGATGTTGATGATATTGCTGCTGATGCTAGGGGTGGTGATGATGTTTGATGTTGTTGTATATGATGGTGTAAATGATGTTTATTGATAATGTTGATGATCGCAACATCAACATAATTTATTAATTTATTCAGTTAGGGTAGCCTCTCATTGTGGGAGGGGAGGGTCTTGTACCCCAGAAGTGACGTCATGTCATCTGCTGCCGCGTGACGTCATGTCATCTGCTGCCGCGTGACGTCACGAGGTAACAGGAAGCTGGAGGTCCGCGCGTGAACTGCAATCCGAGGTGAGAAATTCTCATCGTTGTGGTTGTTGTGGTTGTTGTTGTGGTTGTTGTTGTTTACCAAGCTAGAGCCTCGCTCTCTCTCTCGTAGGGATGTCAATAGAGCAGCAGCAGCTTGTGAATCGATGTCCAAGTTGGAACTTTACAACGCGGGGCCTAGACACGCGGGGCCTTGCCTCCTGCCCTCGCCTGGTCGCGTTTGCTTTAATTCCCTCCCTTAAGTTTAATTTGTCTTCACGCGGCTCGCTACTTTGTCACTTTGGTTTACTGTAGATATTAACGCAGTTTTTCTTTTCGTTTTTTTACCAGCCCAAGCCGGCTTGAGCTGCTTGTACCGCTCTTGTTACAGAAGCTACCTGCCCGACAACAACAACAAGGTGGGTTTGTCAACGCGTGTGTCAATGTTTTGACTTAAAACTTTCGTAACTGCAGCAATTCATATTCTTGGTTCTTTCGGTGAAGTCACGGAGATAGAAAATTTATAAAAAATAACAGATAATAAAATGAATAAAAGTAAACAAAATTGTAAATAAAACCACGACGTTTCTATCACAACACAAGTGGCATTTATTTTATGTTATCTGTTGTTATTGTCTATCTACGTAACTTTACCGAAAGAACCAAGAATACGTGTGGAAATGGGTATCGGTCAAAGACGCTAATCACGTACTGATGTTGACTCTAAATGTGGAGAGGAAACCCGGGAGATTCGGAGGAAAATCCACGCGACCACGGAGAGAGAGACACGCAAACTCCAAATATACAGCAGCAGCAGCAGGCGTCAGGGTCGGGATCGAACCCACGACTTCCTGTATACCAGGCGAGGTAGTTAACATCTCACCACGGAGAGAGAGACACGCAAACTCCAAATATACAGCAGCAGCAGTAAGCGTCAGGGTCGGGATCGAACCCACGACTTCCTGTATACCAGGTGAGGTAGTTAACATCTCACCACGGAGAGAGAGAGAGAGACACGCAAACTCCAAATATACAGCAGCAGCAGCAGGCGTCAGGGTCGGGATCGAACCCACGACTTCCTGTATACCAGGTGAGGTAGTTAACATCTCACCACAGAGAGAGAGACACGCAAACTCCAAATATACAGCAGCAGGCGTCAGGGTCGGGATCGAACCCACTACTTCCTGTATACCAGGTGAGGTAGTTAACATCTCACCACGGAGATACGAGGGCTTCCAGGCATTTTTATGACCATTTGCCCTCTCATTGTGTGCAATAACAGCCTGTGTGATGAATTTGGGAAACTTTTTCACGACATCATGAATATATGAATAAGTATAGACGTGTAAGTCACGTGTGACTGTGTATATGCATTACTCTGTATCTGACGTGTAGGTGGTGTGGATATAATTTTTTTCTGTCTGCAGCTGTCGCTTGGTCTGATGGAGCAAAGGCGCTCAGCACAGCTCAGTACGGCAAGGCAACAATGCGACCGGCGTGGATACAGCACGGAGCGGACTGGAAATTTGACACAGCACCAGAGAGCTCACGCAGGAGAGAAACCCTTCAAGTGCAGTGTGTGTGGGAAGGCATTTTCACGGTCATATTATCTTAAAAGACACCAGAGAGCACACACGGGAGAGAAACCCTTCAAGTGTAGTGTGTGTGGGGTGGCATTTTCACAGTCAAATAATCTTAAAAGACACCAGAGAACACACATAGGAGAGAAACCTTTCAAGTGTACTCTGTGCAGGAAGGCATTTGCACAGTCATCTTCTCTTAAAAAACACCAGAGAATACACACGGGAGAGAAACCCTTCAAGTGCATTGTGTGTGGGAAGGCACTTTCACGGTCATCTGTTTCTTAAAAGACACCAGAC